GGTCGAGGGGATGATCTTACAGCAAGCAGGGTCTTCAACCCGAGAGTGGCAGGAGCAGGGAAGGAGGCAGGAGCAGGCAGCAGGAGGAAGATCTCTATCATAGATACCAAGCTGCTGTATAAAGGACAAATCTCTCTTCCTACAGCACAGCCACTTCCCTCCCATCAGCGTGGCAGGGGAGGGTCTGACTGCCCGCACGGGCTTTTCATCACTGGTCATACGAGAGGTTACACAAAGTGGGGGTGTAATCCAGGACATCGCAGCTCCTCCTGACTCGTGTTTGTGATTGATTGGTCTGGCAGCAAGCTCCGCAGGGATAGAATATCTGCAACTGCTCGGATGTTGTAAACAGAGTGCCGGGTTACTCCCGCGCTCACATTGCTCCACAGCTGTGTTCAGGGTGTCGCTGAGCAAACTGCTCATGAATGAACCGACACCGCGGTCTGTCCTGCGGCACCTGTCCCCAGTCATCCCTCAGCACGGCCGGAGGAAACCCAGCCTCACCACGGCACGAGGCGGCTGGGCGGTATAAGGACTTCCAGGACATGCTATTCTCGTCCCTGCTTTCCATTGAATAAAAATCGCAGTTGTAATACTGCTCGTAATAGCTCCTGTGCGGCCAGGGGCTGTGGGGCAGCAGAGCGTGGGCTCCACCAGCACCAGCACAGCCCCATGGCCAAGGCCATGGTTATACCAGAACTTACCCAAACACAGCCTCCTGTCTGGTTTGGCTCTTAACCAGCCTCCTCCCTGCAATAGCTGTAAGCCTCTTGCCCAGCTGTGCCCCCCTGACAGAGGGTGAGTGGGGAGGGGGCCAGGGGGGCAGCAGCTGGTTTTGGGGTACCCGCGGGCTGGCTCTGCTGCCCACTCTGCTCAAAGGTGGTTTTGGGCTCTGCAAGCACCGGAACACCACCATTGCCAGCCCTCGGCTGCATCCAGCAGAGCTCTGCCCCCCCCGTCATCCCTCTGCCAGCCACCCACAGGGCCCACACGCAGGCGACCGTTTTTCAGGCAATCATCTATTTGTGGCACAAAAGCCAGCTCCAGAGGTTGAAAACAGGATATTAAAGATGTTAATCAATACTGCAATGAATAACGCAGCCGGATGGGGACTAAAGCCTGTGCTGAACGCAAGCGAGCCGGGGACAAGGGTTGAGGAGAGCAGGGTGAAATGGAATAAGAGAAAGAGGGGATAACAATGAAAAAAAAGGAGAAAACATTCCCCAGACATAAATGTGTGAGTGCTCCTTTCTCCTAACATTTCATCACGTCCAGTCATCTGCTGGGACATGGAGGGGACACGGTGCTCTGTGGAGGGTGCTGGGTGTCCCGGCCGGGAGCCAGAACACGCGACCAGAGCCTGGATCTGCTGGGATGGGTGGGACAGGTCGCTGGAGTCCTTCTGTTAGCTGACATCAGAAGTGAACCTGTCAGGCTTAAGTTAAACTCGAGTTAGGCGACCTGCACTGGTTTTTGGGGCAGAGGAGCCCGGCACTGCCAGTGTCTGTGCCTGTCATGCAGGAAGGGCAGGTGCAGCCGGGTCAGCGCTGCATTCACAGCAGCCCGTTTTGTCAGAATCAGCCATCAGGGGAGTCTTGCACCATGTTAAGGGGACACAAGGGACTTGTTCAATTAAAATCATCTGTATCTTCTAATAGGAAACTCCAGTCCGTCTTTCTAAGAACTTCCTTTATCAGACAACACAACTATTTAAGAAGGGGAAAGGGGATAACCAGATGCCAGGCTTATTGCTGGTGAGACAGACACAGAGAACACCATGAAGAGACTTTCTGGGAAACAGAGGTCTGACTGAGCTCTGTTTTGTTGGGCTGAGCAATATCTGGCCCTCCTCCATCTGTGCTGCAAAGCTGAGGAGGTGATTGCAGGGGTGTGGAAGCCCCACTGGGGTTTGCCAAATAAGCAGCATCCATTTGCACAGCACTGGCCACACGCTATACACGTATCTCTGTTTTTAAGGGAAGCCACTGTCCGGAGTTTGTGTCTCCCCGATTTTCCTGAGCCTGCAGAGCTGGTCTGGAAGTACCTGGACCTGTCCACCTTTCTCCTCCTCTACCTTCTGCCTCTGCTGATCATCACGGTCACCTACACGCGCCTGGCCAAGAGGCTGTGGCTGCGCAATGCCATCGGCGACATCACCACGCAGCAGTACATCGCCCACCACAGGAACAAGAAGAAGAGCATCAAGATGCTGATGCTGGTGGTGGTGGTCTTTGCCATCTGCTGGTTCCCTCTCAACTGCTACGTGGTGCTCATCTCCAGCCTGGGCATCAGGACGAGGAACTCCCTCTACTTCACCCTGCACTGGTTTGCCATGAGCAGCACCTGCTACAACCCCTTCATCTACTGCTGGCTCAACGAGAGCTTCCGCTCCGAGCTCCGGTCCCTGCTCTGCATCTGCCAGAAGGTGCCAGGGGCTGGGGACAACGTGCTGCCGCCTGCGGCCACGTCCTGCCGCGAGGCGTGGGCAGAGCAGGCCAGGCACAGGAAGGG